AACCCGCAGGCTCAGGCAATCCACTCACCTCAGCCTCCCAAAGCACGGGATTACAGGCTGAGCCACCGAGCCCGGCAACAGGAAAGTTTTGAAGGACAAGTGGACATGAATTATGAATGGACAGGACCTGAGTTGTGTTGAAGGCCAGGACCAGAGGCTTGGGTAGTATGGAGGGCTGGTAATGAGACTGGACATGGCCAAGTTCTGCTGATAGCACAAATTTGATCTGACTGGATCCCTCGTTAGTTTGGATCTTACAGCCATTGTTCATTTGCCTGCTGTTTACAAGCTTGTGGCCACTACCAGCACTTTACTTTGCCTGGTTGTTCCTGGACTGGAAGACCCCAGAGCAAGGTAAGACTCATGAACCTAGAAAGAAGAATGTTCCACCTGCAACCAGGGAGTCCCACTTACCACACCACAGGCTTCTCATCCAAGTGCTCGAGCCACAGGAGCTGGAACAGACAGGACCATCCTTTCTAGAAGAGCCATGGTCCATGCTGCTAGGGAAGCCCTGGGTCAGTGGGAGGTATGGAGTGGCCCACACAGACATCATTCCCTACTGGTACTTTTGTCTCAGGTGGCAGGCGTTCAGCTTGGGTAAGGAACTGGCATGTCTGGACCCACATCAGAGACTATTTCCCTATTACGGTAAGTGTCTCTTTCTCAGTGTCTCTCACAGTTACCTAAATACTAGACATTTATACCAAATGGAAGATAAGCATCCCAGAGAAGTCTTAGTCCAGGTTAGATACACTTCAGGACCCAACATTTCTACTGAGATCTCTATACTCTGCTAGGATGCTTTGGGCACTGTTGACCTCACCTGTCAGATGACACAGGCAGAAGCCAAATGCACTTCAGTTCAGTTTAATAACCATGAACTGAAAGTCTGTTCTAAACCATATGTTAGAAGTACAGAGAAGTGAATAGGATGTGATTCTTTGCCATCAAGGAGCTCATATCTAATGAAGAGGACAGACAAGTCTATAATTATATTTTGGTACAAGGTACAAAAGTAATTCAGGTGAGGGATAAGGAAAGGCTTCACAGACCAAGGTGATACCTAAGCAGACTTTTTCAAGTTCAATGAAAATTACTTAGGCAGGCACAGGAAGGTGGCTGGGGGAAAACAACACCAGGAAGAGCTTCCAGAAATGTACTACTATGCTGATCCTCAGGGCACTCTCTGGGGCAGACAGCAAACACTGCTCCGATTTTCAGAGCAGAGATTCCTGATCTTCTTCACATAACAACTCTCATAGAAAAATGGTAACTTGCATAAAGCGCACTGACATAGATGGCTAAGACTTCTTGCAGCCATAGGCAAGAGGCCTGACAATTCTAGCTGCCCCAGATTCTACCTTGCTGTCCAAAGGCTGAATCCCCAGAAGCGCATTCATGGTCATCTGTCAGAAAGCTCTGCTTTATGGAGCAACCTAATCCCTTGTTTCCAGTGTGAGTTCATTCCACCACCTCTGGCATTTCTCTCTATGGCTACAGATTCTGAAGATTAAAGACCTGTCACCGGAGCACAACTACATCATGGGCGTTCACCCGCACGGCCTCCTGACCTTTGGTGCCTTCTGCAACTTCTGCACTGAGGCCACAGGTTTCTCAAAGACTTTTCCAGGCATCACTCCTCACTTGGCCACGCTGTCCTGGTTCTTCAAGATACCGCTTGTTAGAGAATACCTCATGGCCAAAGGTGCTTCGGATCATACTTACCGGAGTTTCTGGTTCATTTCTGTGCTTAGAAATGCACTCTTCTAATCCCTATCCTCTCTCCCCACCTCCCAACTCATGTCAACAAAACATAGTAGTCAAAAGCATACATTCTGAAGCTAAACTGCCTGGGTTTGAATCCTGGCTCTGCCACTTTCTGTGTGATCGTGGGCAAACTAGCTTTAGTTTAGTCACTTGTAAAGTGGTGCTGATTATAACAGTCTGACCTTAGACATGGTGTGATGACTAAATGAGATAATGCAAGTAAAGCATTCAACATAATATCTGCCACAGAGCATGTGCTCAATAATTAACAGCTGCTGCTATTAATGCAAAAAGAAAGGGTAGAATTATAGCTGAGATTCAGGAAGTCCTTCTGATTATCTCACTAAAAGCCTTCCCAATGTAGTTTCAACTCAGTACCTACTGCAAAATAGGGATGTTGCATCAATGTGAACTGAGCTCTTTTATCCACAGCCTTCTCCTTCCATGCTCTTTTGCCCATCTTATTGAGCCTCTCCTCCTGGGGCCCATGGAAACAGAAGGTGTACAAACAAGCTAGTGAAGAGCAGAACAAGCGTGTTCGATCTTAAGCATTTTCTCCTCTCTTGACAATTTTGCTCCTTGATTTTCCTCCTCTTCAGGTGTGTGCTCTGTGAGCCAGCCAGCCATCAACTACCTGCTGAGCCATGGCACTGGCAACCTTGTGGGCATTGTAGTGGGAGGTGTGGGCGAGGCCCTGCAAAGTGTGCCCAACACCACCACCCTCATCCTCCAGAAGCGCAAGGGGTTTGTGCGCACGGCTCTCCAGCATGGGTAGGTGTTTCCCCCAGATGGGGAACAGTATAACCCTGTAGGTGATGCCAGGATGAGTCACATACAAGCCTTGCTTTTAAGGAACTTACTACTGAGTAGGGAAGATGGGCATAGATGTTTTTAAAGGTTTAGGTCATCCACTCCTTCTAAGCTAGCTGGACCAGTTCTCAGGAAGCAAAACCATAAATCTGGGCTCAATATCAAGGGAGATTGGGCTAGGGCTGCCCTGGCATATAGATGATGCCCACATTATCTCTATCAGTACTAATATCTACACCTGTCTGTTAGTGGTAAGTTCAACATGCAGTCCAGTAATGAGTGTGCATTCAGGATCTGGAGTCAGGAACCTGATTTAAAATCTAGGCTCTGTGTGTGACTCTGTGCACTCTGGGACAGGTCACTTAACCATTCTGAGCCTTGGTGTTTTTCATCTTCGTAGTGTAGCTACTAATAATTCTACCTACTCCATAGGGTGACTGTGGACTTTAAATGAATTCATCTACACAAAATACTTATGTCCTTGGCACACAGTAAGCAATCAATAATTGTTAGCCACCCTGACTTATGGGTGAAGAGCAGGAGCCCAATGCTAGAGCTATGGGGTGCTTCATCAGATCAGCAGGTCAGTTCTCTGAACACAGGGACAATTGTCCCATTGCAGATTTAGAGAAGAGGGAAGTATTTCTTCTAAGAATTTTGCCTGAGAGTCCTAAGCATAATGTAGGAAAGAGCTCTCTGAGCTGTGTAAAAGAGTCTTGGGTCTTAATCCAGGTCCTGCCACTTACTCACTGACTGTGACCTTCCCTTTCTGAATCTGGGCTTCTTGCATCCCCCACTGTGCTCTCCACTGTCTTTGCTGTGGGGAACCCATAAGGCTACATATGTCAAAGTGCTGAGAAATTATTATTGACAACTCACAAAGATTTGTATAAGGAGACTGTGCTCTCTTTTCTCTCACTCAAGGAACTTAAGGAGCCTGGCTTTACGTAGGGCAGTGATCAGGGTGGATTCTCGTGGTCTATGGAAGGGAAACAACTTTTCTCTGCTCTAATCCCATGACCCAAGGACATAATAACTTATGTGTCACCCCCTTGGGTGAGGGGCATATCATATACAATATGTGTATCTATGCAAAATTATCATCATCTACTCTGTGCTTTTTACTAATAGAAACAGAGTCAGACAGTCTTCTCCTTTGACACCTCTTGGAAGCTTTCCATGATGCGAGACTCTGGGGCTCTCTGCCCAACTCCTCTTCCCTCCCTGCACCCACATATCTTGTCCTTGTAATCCTGACCCAGAGACAGCACTCTCATAGGCCTTGAAAATTTCAGGATGAGACATCGAACAGAGGAGCCCTCTTTAGTACAGGAAGAAAGGCCACCAGTATTTTATCAGAATATGTGGAGGCCTGGCAAGCTAACAGATGTTGTTCCAGGGTGAGTCATATATTTTCCAAAATAAATCAGAGTTTTCCTACAGGGCTCATCTGGTCCCCACCTTCACTTTTGGAGAAACTGAGGTGTATGATCAAGTATTGTTCCATAAGGACAGCAGGATGCACAAGTTTCAGAACTTCTTCCGCCGTGTCTTCGGTTTCTACTTTTGTGTCTTCTATGGACGAGGCTTCTGCCAAGACTCCATTGGGCTCCTGCCATACTCCCGGCCTATTGTTACCGTGGGTGAGTGCTGCTATCAGTCCCAAATGCCACCTCAGCTTTCTCAACCTCAACCTCAGCTGCCCCCACCAAAGAAGAGGACAGCAGAGGAGAAGCTGGGAGCTGACTTGGAATGTGAGAGGAAAGAGAAGGTTAAAGAAAAGATTCTAACACTTTTCCCTTCTCTTTTCCCATCTCTCTTGGCAGTTGGGGAGCCTCTGCCACTGCCCAAAATTGAAAAACCAAGCCAGGAAGAGGTGGACAAATACCATGCGATTTATATGGAAACCCTGCACAAACTGTTTGACCAGCATAAGACCCAGTATGGCTGCTCAGAGACCCAAAAGCTGCTTTTCCTGTGATTGAAGAGACTGTGTGCCCAAGAGCACAAGAGTGCCTGACTTGGAGAGGAGACTCACCTGCCACTAACCAAAGACAGGCCTGAGAGAGAAAGGGAAATGAGGGAGGCTGTGTGTGGCAGAGGAGGGCACTAGGAATTCCTGCCTTGCCTCCTTGACACAGAGCCCTTGCAGGAGTTCTCCTCGAGGAGCTCTCTTCAGTCGTTCCTTAAAGGGGAACATCCTGAGGCCCCTCATGCACTGCTCCCTGCCCTGGGGCTTTCCTCTCTGAGCCTGAAACCCCAGGTCCTGAAGGACTCAAGTGATGGCCAGGCAGCCATCGTCCCATTTTAGTTTAGCTTTGTTTTCAGTCTTAATACAATTTTAAAATTGAGATATAATTTGCATAACATAAATTTAACCTGTTTAAAGTATAAAGTTCAGTAGTGTTTAGTATATTCATAAAGTTGTACACCCCATCACTACCTATTTTAGAATGCTTTTCAGCACCCCAAAAAGAAACTGAGTACACATTAACAGTCACTGCACATTTTCCCTTCTTCCCTTGTCCCTGAGCAACCACTAATCTATTTTCTGTCTCTGTGGATTTGCCAATTTTGGGCGCTTCATATAAATGGAATAATATAATATGTGGTCTTTTGTGCCTGGCTTCTTTCTCTTAACATAATGTTTTCAAGGTTCATCCATGTTGTAGCATATATAAGTGTTTCCTTCCTTTTTATGTCTGAATAATACTCCATTGTATAATTAAATGACATTTTGTTTATCCATTCACCAGTGATAGACATTTGGATTGTTTCCACTTTTTAGCTATTATGAATAATGCTGCTATAAACATTCATGTTTTTGTGTGATAATCTGCTGTCCCCAAAACATGTCATGCTCACACCACTGACAAGCATGCTTAATTTAGGATAGATAAAAGGTATCTTACTCAGCATCATTTCTCAGTTGGCATAGTCATTTCCCATTGGTCACCTTGCTCTCATAATGATTCTCTAACTTCATAGTCCCAAGGTGCTCACAACCGTCCTGATAGCCTATTGCAGGGAATACGTTTATTATCTATGTTTTAAATCCTTACTAAATTATTTTTTAACTTTTTCTTAAAGCTGTATTCTGAGAATTTTAAAAGTGTAAATAAAGACATAGATGTCTCTTCCTTCACAAGGCAATCAATGAGGCACACTTAAAAACACAACAAATGACCAGAAGTCATTAAACCATTTAGACTACTAGCCTTTTTTCCCTTTGCTTAACCCTTTAAAATATTGGAGCTTGATGATGTCCTATCCTCTTTACATTGTTTCAGGTCTGAAATATCTATTTTCACTCAGATTTTTCTAATAAGCGATAGCCCAATATATCTAATTTACCAATCTGCCATGCTCCTCAATCTCAACATACCCAGTGCTAGGTAAATCATCTTCCTCATATCTTATCAACAAGTCTTATCAATTTTACCATCTTAATATTAATCCAATCTGTCCCCTTCTCTCCTTCTTCACTGTCACAACCTAGCCACAGCCCTCATCAACATCCCTAGACTATTTCCACTCCCTCTAGAAAAGTCTAATTAACCCATCCTTAATACTACTTCCAGGGCAATCTTGCTAAAGCTTAAATCTGACTTGTCTCTCCCCTGCTTAAAATCCTTTATTGTTCCTACAATGCCTCTATCAGAATATCCTAAATTGTATTCTAGGTATCACTAATGTTCCTTAGATATTAACAAATATTATACTTTGAAAAAATGATCCTGTGGTAAAATAAGAGTGGGAGATTCTGGATTAAGCAAATTTAGACAGATGTATTTATTGAAGTATTTTCAGAGTCTTTAGTACACTAATGGCATTGTGATTTTCAAAAAGGGAGTATTTAGCATTTCCCAAACTTATCTGACATTGAAACTCTTACTTTAACTAACACCTATGAATACCTCATGAAACATTTAGAGCACCTCTGAATACAGTCTTGGAAATTCTAAGTTCAAATTCCTTAGTATGGCAGAGAAGGCTTCTGGCAATGTAGGGAAGGTAGCTGATTTGATTTGGGAGCCTATCAGATTGGACGAAGCCTTTGTAGAAGCTAGACTCCTAGGGTGGATTGAAACCTTCTAGCGGGTGATCAGAAGGTAATTGAATAAACGGGGAATTGATTTGAATTGTTCCTATCTGTTTTGGTTGTTTCTTCTAGGAAGGGGAAATGAGAGCAGAGTTTTCCAGAAAAGTCTCAAGGGCACACGTGACAACAAGGCTTTCTGTGTTTCATAGCCATGACTCCCTGGAAGAGTAAAAGAACAGAGGTATGGCAGTTTAAACTTTTACTTTCTTATTAGCATCAGCCACTTTCTCCTCCTCAAAAATTCACCACCCATATCTTTTCTCCCAACCCTTACCCTTTCCTCCACAATGCAATCTCTCCTTCTCCCTCTTCCTCCCCCCGCCTCTCTCCAAATATTTTTTTAATTATTAATCAATATTTTTTATTATGGTTTTGTGGGGTACAGTTAAGGGTTAGGTGTACAATTACGTTTCATTCAGGCACCCTGTTGATAAGAGGTGTTTTCCCACCCCCAGACAGATATTTGCTACTGTTAATCCCATCCCCCTCCCCCCCATAGTTTCCCAGTACCGTCAGTCATTTTCGTATAGTATTGCATTGGATGTTCAAGGTCCATTATATGAGTGAGAACATGTGATACTCGGATCTTTGTTTCTGTGAGAGGTCATTCAGTATAATAGACTCTAGTTCCATCCAGGTTGCTGCGAAATTCATGATTTTGTTCTTTTTTATGGCTGCGTAGTGTTCCATCATGCATATGTACCACATTTTTAAAATCCAGTCCTTTTTTGATGGGCAGCCTGGTTGTTTCCAGGTTCTTGCTATTGTGAACAACGCTGCAATAAACATACGTGTGCAGGTATCTTTTTTATAGAGTGATTTGTGTTCTTCAGGGTATATTCCCAGTAGGGGGATTGCGGGGTCATATGGAAGGTCGATTTTTAGAGCTTTTAGGAATCGCCACACTGCTTTCCACAGAGGTTGCACTAGTTTACACTCCCACCAACAGTGTAGAAGTGTTCCCTTTTCACCACACCCTCTCCAGCAGCTGTTATTTTTTGAGCTGTTGATAATTGCCATTCTGACTGGAGTTAGGTGGTATCTCAGTGTGGTTTTGATTTGCATCTCCCTGATGATTAGTGAGGTTGAGCATTTCTTCATGTGTTTGTTGGCTGCTCGGATGTCTTCTTTTGTGAAGTGTCTGTTCATATCTTTTGCCCATTTTATAATGGAGTTGTTTGTTTTCTTCTTTTCAGTACGTTTCAGTTCCTTGTAGATCCAGGATGTTAAGCCTTTGTCAGACCTAGAGTTGGCAAATACTTTTTCCCAGTCTGTAGGCTGTCTCCCTGCTCTCTTGATGGTTTCTTTAGCTTTGCAGAAGCTTGTCAGTTTAATAAGGTCCCACTTGTCTATCTTCTCTCTTATAACCTGTGGGTTTCGGGTTTTGTACAGGAATTGGATGCCAGTTCCAATTTCCATGAGGGTATTTCCTTCCTTTTCTAAGGTTCTTATGGTTTGAGGTTTTACATTTAGGTCTCTGATCCATTTGGAGTTAACCTTTGTGCATGGGGATAGATAGGGGTCCTGTTTCAATCTTCTGCATGTGGTCAGCCAGTTTTCCCAGCACCATTTACTGAATAGGTTCTCCTCTCCGAATATTTTTTGAGATACCCTAAGCAACTAATACTAACACTCTAATCAACTGCTCCATATTCTGGATGCCACAGTGACTTCGTAAATGATAATCATCAATTAATCAGTAGGACTTAGCCATGGTATGTGGGGCAGGGAAAGAACATTTCCAGAGTGGCCAAGATGGTGACCCCTAGCAGACCAAATGGCCAGGAATCTGTCTGAAGTAACAGCAGAGGCAGAAAATGAGCAGAGTACTTGAGTGATGTCCAGAGGGCTGTCCCACAGAGGTCCTTCACACTCTGGCCCCTTTAATCTTTTTGATCTTATCTCCAATTGCTTCCTATCATGATCCAAAGTAGTATATTGGACAACATCATGGTTTTTGAACATTTTCACATCTCTTTGCCTTTGTTTATGTTCTCTCTACGTGGTAAAGTCTATTCTCCTGTTAAGCCCACATCAAATATCTTCTCCAGGCAGAATGGAAATCTTCGCCAGACAGAATGACTTACCCTTTCCTTAATTCTTCCATAGCCTTTTGATAGGGAGTGATTGGAGATAAGGCTGAAAAGTATGCAGCTGGATAATAAAATATATAATGTAGACAAGGCTGTCAAATACTAAGAACTTAGTGAGCAGGACAGGGAATTACACTTTCTTTATGAGTGTACATTAATCATTCACAACTATTATTTATGTATTGTAAAGTAAAAGTGCTGCTATTAAATAATTTTTTTATTTACTTATAAATTTTTTGTAGAGACAGTGTCTCATTATGTTGTCCAGATTGGTCTCGAACTCCTGGACTCAAGCAATTCTCCCACCACAGCTTCTCAAAGTGCGGGGATTACAAGCATGAGCCACTACATCTGACCAAATAAGATTTTTTGTAAGCATTAAATATTCTTTATTTGGCATTACACATAAACCTCACTAAAATATCTTTTAATAAGTAAATGTCAGCATTTTTAGATACAGAGAATTCTAATTAGATTGGCATAGTTAAGATTAAAAATATAAAGTAGACATTACTACTTTATCTTCAGTCCTTGCCTTGAAGAGGCCAAAGAACACAAAATAGGTGAGTCTTGCTTGGTTCTGAGACAGTGAAGGAACTTCCCCAGTATCTAAATATATTCATATATCCAGTTATATAAACTGAAATAAAAAACCAGTCTCCAAGAGATTTTTAGATGGCATTCACCATCTTTGTGAAAAATTGAACATTACTAATCAAGTCCAATCTTATCTTTAGAAGGGGAAAACAGTGATAGCATTTATTAATACTAACTTGGAATTACCATAAAATTCAAAAAAACTGATCTTATTCACTTAGCCACAAGCCCGTCTTAGTTAAATCAAGAATGTCCAACAAAAACATTCTGTCAGCCACTCATGATATGAATTCCAGTGTATGAGATCAATTAAATTATGGTACATATTAAAAAGTCATGAGACATTTCT